ATTGCCTTGATTCAGAGTATCTACTAAATTGGTTCAGCCAAGGTACATCCAAGTTAACATCAAAATATTCCTCTTATTCTACCTAATTACAGTGCTGTAATATAAATAACTTTTAATAATACAATATCACACTTATCAAGCTTATCAAATTTATTAAACTTTAACATTTATCACACTTACAAACAGTTACATCAATAATTTTCTTTTCTATCTTGGTAATTAATATAACTTTTCCCCTCGCGAACTATTCCAATAGTTGTCAATAAGTGCAGTCAAGCCGATGATCACCAGTCTTCAGCTGACCATAACAGAGCTTTAAATATGTTGTCTCATACATTTAATAAGATTCCTTACATCAGCACCATTTAATTTGCAATAAACCGGACACCTGGGGATGCATAGAAAATTGTAGTATGCGAAACTGGTCGTCGGTGGCAGAAAAAAATGGTTTTGAAAAGCCTTATTCTTATTTTTCTTTGCCCAAGTTAAACAAATTTTGTTTTGTTACTTAGTAATACACAAAATTCTTTTAATAATTTAATTTAATTAATTTACCTCATTAGTATTGACAACTAAATCATATAATATTATGTATCTTAAACTAGATGACTTTAAAATCATATTGTAAATATTTTTAATATTTTAATGGCCATAATAAAGTTAATAGAAAGGAAACCTACGTTATTTGTCTTTTGAAATTTTGTTCTAGATTACTCAGACAAACAATGATGTCAAGATTAAAAGTAATGTCGTTGAAAGAAAAGATATTACAAATAGGGTAGCTAAATTTAAAAGAAGAAATTCCGAAAGTAAAGCAAGTAAGTGCATGTAAATGAGCAGGAGGTTCTACAAGTATTTACTTAGATATTACAAAACTTACGTGATTACAAGTGGTGGAAGTATGTCTGTATATTGACCTGTAGATGTAGCCCGCACTGTTATTAACGTACGATCTGAAACAAAATATTTTAAATTTATTTTCTGAATTAGGTAATAAAACAAAGCAAACCCTTTATTTGCGTGAGCTAATGCATAGTAGCACTAATAAAACATTCTAGAAAATCGTCAATACCACCAAATATAAGTATTTTTTATTTACAAAAAGCCGCATCAACCGTAAAAGGTTATTAGCGGATGTCTATTACAATATATATGGTAGTGCATATATTATAAGGTTAGGTAACATAAAAATTTATCAACTAAAATAAAAATTACATGCTATGAAATAGGTTAATGTCCTTAAGATATTTGATCGTATTGGATAAGTTACAGTTTAATATATTTTTAAGTTGACCTGGTTCTTCAGAAATATTGTTGGTGCTTCGTTCATATGAGTAAAGTGGACAGTCTGTAAGTATGTGTTGGACTGTTTTTTGGCATCTACAGTATGAGCATTTTGGTGGTAGCTGCTTCGTTAATGGGGTTTAAATGGGGTAGTGATGCGAAAAATATGACGCTGCATCCTGTTAGCGTCACTAGCCTCTCATACTCAATTCCAACTCTCACCTATACGCGGTGAACCCTGGTAACCTGAGCAACTCTGTGGAAGATTATGGTAACCAACCCGAGTGGGAAGCAGAGTCAGGGCAAATGAGAGTGGAAGAAATGATCCTTCGAAGATTAGGGGGTTGGGCAAAAGGTTAACTTAAAGGTAACCTTAACTTAAGGTTAACTTAAAGGTTAACTAAAGGAAACCTTAAAAAAACTCATTGTTATGAAAGCACAAAGTGGAAAAGCCGGACTATTTAATTCACGACGACCTAGCAAACGACAATGGAATAACGATTTACGGAATTTACGGATATGCACATGGAATGTACGAACCCTTTACGCCCCAGGTGCTCTTAGACTGCTAACACAAGAACTTGATTAAATGAAAACCGTTGTAGTAGCGATTCGAGAGATGAGATGGACTGCTTCAGGAATTATCGAGAAAAAAAACTACAGTATATACTACAATATATACTATAGGCAGTTTGGCAGTGGTTTTCTAGTCAGTAAAAAAGCAAAGCAATTAGTCCTTAATTTTAAACCCATAAACAACATAATATGTTATCTACGTCTTAAAGGAAAATTCTTTAATTATAGCTTACTTAGTGTACACGCACCTACGGAAGAAAAGGAGGATAATGAAAAAGATGAATTCTATGACACCTTAGACAAAGAATATGATCGATGTCCACGTCATGACGTGAATCATTGCTGGGGACCTTAATGCAAAAATTGGCAAAGAGCAATTTTTCCAGCCAACTATAGGACGTGAGAGCTTACATGAAGAGTCAAATGATAACGGGTTGAGATAATAAACTTTGCAAGTGCTAAAAACATAATAGTAGGAGGAACAAGATTTCCCCATAAAATGATACACAAAGGAACATGGAAATCCCCTGATAACGAGACTATTAACCAGATAGATCACATCCTGATAGATGCAAGGCACTCTTCCGATCTCATAGACGTCAGAAGCTACCGAGGCCCAAACATTGACAGTAGCCACTTTCTTGTAATGGCAAAAATCAGAGGACGAATATCAAACCTGAAGGTGGGGGAAAATTTAGAGGAACTATAAACAAAATGTAAAAACATAATAACTAAAAAAGCAACAAAAATATTGGGGAAAACTAAACCAGTTAAAGAAAACGAATGGTTTGACAAGGAGTGCCAAATAGCAACAGATAACAAAAACAGGGCATACCTAAAGACAAATCAAGCTGGATGCACAAGAAAAGCAAAGGAAGAATACCGGACCCTAAAAAGAGAAGAAAAACTATTACATTGAAGAAAAAAAGCACAGAATGACTAAGAAATCCAAATGAAACTCAAAAGTTCTACAGAAATCTAATCAAAATGCGCAAAGAGTTTAAGCCAAGAGTAAGGAGCTCTAAGGATGTAGAAGGAAACATCCTAAATGATACGGCCTCAATCCTAAACAGATGGGTTGAATTTTTCGATGCAAAATTTAATGGCCATTTTATTGAAGAAGCAGATAACACCCTAGCAAATTGAAATGATTGGAATCCTTTTAACCCAAACGAAAGACCACCAAGCTAAAAATCAGAAAATCACCGGGAACGGATGGTATACCCAATGAACTTTTAAAATATGGAGGCCCGGAACTGGCAAGTAAACTGGCACAACTATTTAACAAAATATTAAACAAAACAGAAACACCAGAGGAATGGCATAATAGTATCACAATCCCCATATTTAAAAAAGGATAAAAAACCTGCCCACTAAACTATAGAGGAATAACCCTCTTAAATACAACAATGAAACTTTTCACGGGTATTCTTAAGGACAAATTGGAAAAGCAAATCACTAATGCTGAAGAACAATAAGGTTTTACAAAAGGGCGGTCTATAACAGACGCAGTATTTATAATAAAACAAATAAAAGAAAAAGATATAGAGTTCGGCATGCCAGCGTATATTTGCTTCATTGATTTGACGAAGGCATTAGACAGAGTTCGCCTGGGAGATATTCTAAATATATTATTAGAAAATGAAACACCGACCAGTATAACAAAGATACTCCATAACCTAAATAACAACAACGTAACCAAAGTTAGAGCAGGAGACGAATTCACTGAAAATATTCCAACACCGGGAGGAATTAGACAAGGCGACAGTTTAAGCCCCTTCTTGTTTAATCTTCTCATGAGCAAAATTATCAACAAAGTAACATCTCTTAATCTCGGATATAGAATGGGCAACAAAAGAATTGGTATGGTGTGTTACGCAGACGATGCAGCAATTATTGCCGAATTAGAAGATGATCTCCAAAGGCAGCTCTTTCAGTTCTTTGAAACAAGCCGACTACTAAATATGAACATCTCTACCAACAAAACTAAATGTATGACAATAGCAAAAGATCCGCTCAGATGTAAGTTAGTGGTTGAGGACAAACCCATAGAACAGGTGATGCAATTCAGATATCTGGGCATAGATATATCAAGCACCCACACCCAGTAAATGACCTGAGGAGTCAGATCAACAAAGCATCTGCACTGTCAGGATGTCTGCGGGAGATAGTCTGGTCAAATCCGTATATGCGCACAGATAGTAAAATTAGAATCTATAAGACTTGCATACGACCGATCATGACATATGGCATAGAAGTGCGTGAAGATACCAACAAAACGAAACAGATGCTAAGGGTTGCCGAAATGAAAACCCTAAGAACAATAATGGGGAAAACAAGAAGAGACAGAGTGAGAAATACAAACATTAGAGAGCAGTGCAAAATTCAAGATATTGTAAGATGGGGAAGGCAGCGCAAAAGGATGTGGTACAACCATGTAAGACGAATGGATGAGAATAGACTCCCAAAAATTGCCCTAGAAAACAATCCGCCCGGTTCAAGACCCCCCGGAAGACCACCTAAAAGATGGAGGGATAGTTGGCAATCTACCTCCCAAGAAATTAACCAGAGGCAGCTTTAGAATTAAACAGATCGAAAGATCTACAAAAAGTAGAAGAAGAAGAAGAATAAGAAAGACCACCTACCATCTAAAACTTTGCCCAAGCCATTAAAAAGCTTAAAAATGATAAATCACCAGAAATTGATCAAATTTGCAGTGAGCTCTACAAGAATGGTGACGATGCCCTACTACAGACACTGCATAAGCTTTTACTTCTTGTTTGGCATAATGAGACCATGCCTTGTGAATGGTGTCAAGGCGTGATATGCCCGTTACATAAAAAAAGGTGACCAGCTCCAGTGTGACAACTATAGGGGTATAACCCTGTTAACAACTGCTTACACAATACTAGCAAATATTATCTACGAAAGGCTGCAAGTTTACACAGTGGGCATAGTTGTTAAATTTAAAGCTGGATTCACTCCAGAAAAAGCAACAATTGACCAGATACATTCAATAAGACAGATTCTCGAGAAAACATTAGAATTCAATATTGAAACCCATCACCTATTCGTCGACTTCAAGGCCGCATACGACAGTGTCAAGAGAACAGTGCAATACCAATCAATGCATGAGTTTGGTATACCAGAGAAACTTATCCGACTAACGAGAATGACAATCTCTAACTTAGAAGCCACTGTCAGAATACAGGAAGAGAATTCTAGAATTCTCCTGTTTAATATTGCCTTAGAAGAGGCAGTCCGCGATACACGAATTAGGGATGGCAGTACTATTTACAATAGATTGATACAAGTGTTAGCATATGCTGATGACATTCACATAAGAGGGCGTAGCAAGCGAGATAATGAGCAATATCTCCTGGAATTGGAAACAGCGGCGAAACAGGTCGGTCTAGTCATCAACGAAGACAAAACCAAGTACATGTTGGTTACAAAGAGTCACATAGCAAATGAGGAACGAGACACAGTCTTTGGAAGTCATACCTTTGAACGTGGACAACTTCACATACCTTGGGTCGCTATTAACTGCTACCAATAAAACAAGTGAAGAAATCAAAAGACGAATAAATCTTACAAATAGGGCATACTATGGACTCCAAAAGAATTTCGACTCAAGAAACATTCAAAGAAGAACTAAAATTATTATATACAAAACATTGCTGAGCCAGTCATCACATATGGAGCAGAAAAATGGATGGACACTAACGCAGAAAGATGAAAGACTTTTGGGAATATTTGAGCGTAAAATACTCCGCAAAATATTTGGAGCTATAAACGACTAAGGGCAGTGGCGCAGAAGATATAATTTTGAATTGTATCAGCTCTTTGAGGAGCCAGATGTAATAACGTTCATTAAAACACAGCGACTTAGATGGGCTGGACACATAATACAAATGCCAGAAAATACTATTGGTAAAAAGCTAACCACAGGAACACCTGTAGGAAGAAGAAGTAAAGGCCGACCGCGAATTAGGTGGTTAGATGGAGTTAAAACCGACTTAAAAATCAAAAGATGGCAAAATGTTGCCAGAAACTAAACAGAATGGCGACGAATCTTAGAGCAGCCCAAGATCAACAGAGGATTGTCGAGCCAAAGATGATGATGATGCTTCGTTAATAAGTGTTGATGGGTTAATGTTGTATGGCTAATTCTTAGGCAATTTATAACTACCTGTTCTCTTCCTTTTTCTGGAAGTTGGAGCCGGACACCGATAGAGGGTTTGGTTACTTTAAAATTTGAGTTATTTGAATCTTAGCATCGCTGCCAAACTTCTGTACAGTATTGTTTGATATAAAGGTAGATATCTGTAACTGGAATTTGTTTAATAATATCGATGCTTTCATTTGAGTTTGCTTTAACCGCTAAGGCGTCAACCTTTTTATTACCTGAAATACCTATATGTGATGGTATCCAGAGTAAGTGAATGTTAACGTTTTTGTTTTGTAAGTAATGAAGCATAGATTTTATGTTTTGGTAGATTTTATGTGTTAGATAGACTTGTTTGATGCTTTAGAGTACTGATAATGAATCTGAGATAACAGAAGATTAGTATCTGTATATTTTTGACAAAATTCAAGTGCTTTTTAAATTGCAATAGCTTCACCAGTGAATGCGCTGCAAAAAGTAGTTATTCGTATAGCATATTCGATATCATCTGTTAAAAAGGCTGTGGCACAGCTAGTTTTGGTTTTTGATGCGTCAGTAGGTAGGAGTAGGTAGTTATTGTTGTTAATATTGCTATATAGATTAGTGTATTGCTATGTAGATTATTATTGCATATCTTAGTGTAGTATAATGTCTTCTTATAAACAAAGGTGGTTCATTTAGTGCAGCTTGAAGACTTGCCATCGGACTAGCACGGAAGGCACCCAGCACAAGTCTCAAAGATGCACTTTGGATAACATCTAAGACTTTAAGAATTTTTTTACTAGCAGTAATTTACTACGGATGAGTGATTTATATAAATATAGCAGATTAGGTGAATCAACACCCCAATTTCTGTTAGAAAGTATTTTAAGGAAGTTTATTTTTGGCTGACAGGATAAGGCTAATTTTTTAATATGGTCTGTCCATTTCAAATGACTGTCGAATCTCAATCCTAGAAAGTCTGTTGAATCTTCTTGTTGTATGTTAATATCATTTAGAATTAGGGTAGGTTTGCTATTGGTTTTATTTTTACTAAAGATAATAAAATAGTTTTTTTCATTTGAAAAGGTAAAACCACTTTTGTGGGACCATATCTCCAGTTTGTGAAAAAATGTCTGAAGGATTTTTGTCGCGACAGAGATATTACAACTTCTAGTGTAAACTATTAGATCGTCAGCATACAAATTTGCTTTTAATGGTTACTCTACTTCTTGTGCAATATTATTAACAGCTAATAAGAAAAGTGTAGGGCTTAGAGCGGAACCTTGTGAAATTCCATTTTGTAAGTGCTTAGTCTTTGAATTAATGCCATTAACACGAACTTGAAATGTTCTGTTACTCATAAATTTTTTAACAAAGCCAGAAAATTTCCTTGTATGCCGCGGCTAACCATTATTTTCAGAATGCGATGTCGTCATGCAGTATCAAAGGCTTTTTTTATATCGAAAATTATAAAAATTACTTGTTGATTGTTTTTAAAAGATTCACATAAAATATATCATTTACTAAAGATATTAGATTGTTATTTGTCGATATTTGTCGTATTAATTTGTACTGAAATAAAACTGCTATCGTAAAAATTGGAGATAAATACACCGATGAAATCTCTATACAACGAGGAGTCAGACAAGGTTGCATTTTGTCGCCAACATTGTTCAATGTTTACTTGGACCAGTTATTTAAAAAGGCACTTGAGAGACAACCATAGGGAATAAAAGTCAACAGGGAACTACTTAATGTGATTAGATATGCAGGCGATAGTAATTCTATCAGATAATATTAAAGGTCTTCAAATTCTGCTTGATCGTATTCACGAGGTAGGAGAGGAAATAACTATTAAAATAAACTTAAACAAAATCAAATTTTTAGTTTGTAGTTGTGACCCACATCCCGATGCAAAGCTTCAATTAAACAAAGTCCAAGATGAAAAAGTTCACAAAATGACATATTTGGGAACTGTGATAACGGACCAACTAGATCCAGATATAGAAATAAAACGTAGAATAGCAATGACTAAAACTACTTTTATGAAAATAAAGTCATTTCTTTGCAATAACTATGTCAGTTTAGAACTAAGGCAAAGAATGGTTAAGTGCTATGTTTGGTCCGTACTTTTGTATAGTGCAGAATTGTAGACGCTAACAGTATCGATCATGAACAAAATTGAAGCATTGGAAATGTGGGTTCATAGACGAATGCTAAAGATACCTTGGACAGCAAGAAAAACTAATGAAGAAGTACTAAGGAGCACCAACAAAGATAGTGAACTGCTAAAGACTGTTAAACATTGAAAAATGTCTTATCTGGGACACATAGTAAGAGAAAGTCGATATAAAATATTACAACTGATCCTTAACAAGTTTCTTGGTTAAAAACATTTGTGAATGCTTTCAGATAGTAAATGCAAGACAATTATTTCATATTGCAGAAGATCGAGAAACCTTCACAACGGTGATCGCCAACGTCGGATAATGCTGATATGGCACGCGAAAAAGAAAAATAGATCCAAGGTATAGGTATTGGTCGTCTGCATAACAGAGTATTTTAACTTTTTCGTTTTCCATTCTGTTCCTCTTCTTTTGTAGATAAAATTTGAACTCTAATGACAATTTATATTATATTGCAATTTTATAAAGCATGATCATTGAAAATATCATTGGCGTAAAAAAATAGGGAATTAAATTAACACAATTTCCAGCCATGCTGATAAAGCATTAACGTCATTAATATTAGACAGTTATTCAACGACTTCATATACAGAGATTAATTATCCCTCAAAGATCCAATTCCATAACGGATTCATCTATTATTTGATCATCTATCTTACTACCATCGCTTTACCTATCAATTAACTGTATAATCAATCTCATATTACAGGAGTATAAATCAAAACCTCCACGCTTACTGACACTGCTACTCAACTAAACATTATCTTACTTTAGAACACAAACTACAAACTCGAACTATGCATACTTTTAAACGAAATATTTAGGGTTATCCTGTCTGTTTGGCAAAGGTCGTCCTAGGTCGATGGGGAAGTCAAAAGGTCTTTGGTCAATTTCTCGGGAAGTAAATAATTTTAGAGCAAAAAGCAAGTTTAGGTATTGTGCGCTCGAAACGTACATTACTAACTAAAAAATTATGAAGGTAATTAATGATTGTGTTTGTTTTTTAGTTTACTAGAAAATAAACTGTAATGTCTTTAAAGTTAGAACTTTTAGTAATTCAAGAATTATTTTACATTTATGTCTATTGCACGTTTGTTTCTAGCATTTGTTTGTGTTTTACTGTTTTTGTTGTATAAGAAGTTGTTCTAAAATTTTTCATCCCTCCTGTTTTTATTAAAATAACTGTTTCGTTTTCTGAAAAACATTCTTGTTTCTTGCAAATTTTTCTCTTGTCTCAATCATAAACACTCTTCTCTCTTACAGTGCGTTTCTGATGAGTAAAAATATTTACTTATCCCTTACTTTTTGTTTTTTTTTTTATTTAAAATCTTTAATATAAAATGTAAAATTACACAATTTTATGACTCATTATTAAGAATATCAATAAGTATAAGTTTTATTCATATTTTATGTTAGATAAAGTACCTCGACAACTATGATAATTGTTACTATATATCGTTAGTATATATCGACAAAGGGTTAGTAGAATTAGGTGTTAATTAAGTGAATCGTAAATAATACAAAAATTAAATTGATATAAAAATAAAATAGACAGAAATAACAACATTTAGTACAAAATACACAGTGCCAATGGCGAAGAAAGTCTAAATTTAGAAAATGTGTATTCAAATGTTCCAAATAATTTATTTACACCAGTACAATGTGCAAATAATTATTCTATTCCATCTGATTAGTCAAAAATAGGAGTAAACCCATTACGAAATCAAACCCAACACATGCAGTACCAGCTTATGCAGCTCCAGCCAATGCAGCATCATTCAATCCAAAAATATAATCAGTTCACAATTTGTCGATAGCTCACTACAAGTTTAATCCTAATTAGAGAACTGAAATACAAATAGGATAGGTAATACGGTATAATAGTAAAAACCAACCTGAAACTAACGGTTTAAGATGTTTTCGACCAACTCACCTTGCATCTGAAGAAATACAATACAACAGTCAACCTTATATCCGATCACGAAGGTATTTTGGTTACAGATGACCGACCAGTGTCGTAGAGTATATGATTGAAACATTTATTTGAACTAAATACATATATTTTTTAAATTGTACTTATGTAAATTGTATTTTTGTTTTAATAAAACTTCTTTATTTTAATCAAAAATAAAAAATTTCTTGTCATTTGTGAAAAATACATTTATTTAATAATTAAGGGAAAAGGCGCCAAATGTCGCGTGGTAAAATTTTTAATGTGTTTTAAATGTATCCATTATTTTCGAATCCGGAGAAAATTAATAAATATTTTTGAAAAATTTAAACGCAGAATGAAAGATTACCTTTTTACTGAGTGCAGAAAGTCCCTGAAAACTTCTACAATGTTTGTTTTAATATGTTATGTAGCAGGGGTAAAAATA